AATCAACAGACCTGGATCGGAATCCTATTTCCCATGTCAGCTCACTAATTCCAGGCAAGCTACTTCACAAGGATTATGTAAGATAATGCATAGTGTTGGCACACATAAAGTATTTAAATGTTGGTCATCACTACTGCTAGGAGTTGCAGGCTTGTGAAGAAATCTTCAGCGGTGGCAAGGGTGACCTATGTGGTAAGCCAACAAGTAAATTTCATAAAATGCTGGTTCTAAGGCCACTCTAGACTGAGAAGGAGACAAACTAAGGTTCTTCTCTTGATTTTGTTGCTACTAAAGTATGCAAATACAATCATGTCTTTTTTTTTGAGACGGAATTTCGCTCGCCACCCAGGCTGGAGTACAGTGGTGTGATCTTGGCTCACTGCAACCTCCACCTTTTGGGTTCAAGCTCTTTCTTTTGCCTCAGCCTCTTGAGTAGCTGAGATTACAGGTGCCCACCATCATGCTTAGCTAATTTTTGTATTTTTAGTAGAGACAGGTTTCGCCATGTTGGCCAGGCTGGTCTTGAACTCCTGACCTCAAGTGATATGCCTGCCTTGGCCTCCCAAAGTGCTAGGATTACAGGTGTGAGCCACTGCACCCGGCCAGCAATCATGTCTTATCTGCTCTTGGGAGATGTTACAGGCAGGCTAGAGTGCAAAGCTGGCTACTGTAAGACAGCAATCTCTCCAAGCCTCTTCTGTAGAAGGCAGTAGAATGACTTAACTCACAGAGCTCAATAAAGATGAAAGAAGTCACTAATGACAAATAGCATGGAACCTGGCTACATCATTTCTTTTTCTGCTAGCACTACCTAGAAGTTTTCTTCTCTACTAAAAAAATATTTTATAATCCCTTGAGTCTAATGAGCCTAAGCCATTACAAAGAAGTAGGGGGAAACATATGTACATGTCCATCTGTAACAAAGATCTAAAGAATCCAAACGCAAAGTTTAACTTGTTTAGGGCCCTTTAATTATTGGTCACTTTGTTTGCTTCCTTATCAAATTAATGTGTTTAATGTTGGATGTTAAATTTTAAGTACTGTATATAGTCAAATTTGTTAAAATGTATCAGCTGAGTTTTATATGGCTTTAATGTTTCTTTTGTTGGAACAAAAATATAGCAAAATTGAAGTCTGAGAAGTCACAAAAAAATCTAAGAGTCAAAAAAACTATCTATAAGATACAAATTTTCCGGTGTAGCCTTAGCCCTGAAGTAGTATTATACCCTGATTGTGATAGCACATTGTGTTTGTCCAGTAAAGCACATAGTATATAACTTGAGACGCTGGTACTTAAGATACTATCAAATGCTTTAAATAATTTTGTCAGTTCTCCATCCTTTCAACAGGTCAGCCACCACTTTTCCCCTCTAGCACAAGAACCAACCTTCAGGCCCTCACATGTCCACTAAAATCAAATACAGATCCTATTCACAATCTGCCACATTCATTTGCATACATTAAACCACTTGTGTTCAATTGCAAAATGAGTGTTTGCAACATAGGAATCTCAGAAGCAACACCAACACAGTGACTGAAGTTAAGCAAAATAATTTCACAGCAGTGAGAGAGCTTTGGTTGGTAATGTCTAATGCACATCATTTAGTATCGTAATACAAGCCAGAAATGTCAACATAGCTATTGGGGGTATTATTATTTTCTGCAATTATACACTTTTAATCCAAAAACCAAGTAACTCTCCATTGGAAAAAAGATTGGGGCATGGTGGTACATGCCCGTAGTCTCAGCTACTCGAGAGGCTGAGGCACAAGGGTCACTTCAGCCCAGGAGCTTGAGGCCAGCCTGGGCAACATAGAAAGACCCCATCTCAAAAAAAAAAAAAAAAAAAAGTGGTCGTGACAAAGGACCATTATTCCACATAAGCAGTTAGCATCTTCAGACATACTTGGGTATTTATTTGCTTGGGTAGTTCTTGCTTGTGTTCTCCACCTGAGTGTGGGCTCCGTAAGAATAAGAACTTTGTTTTGTTCACTGCTGATTCCTAACACCTCAAACAGTGGTAGGTGCTCAAAAAGTACTTGTTAAATAAATTCTAATTTCTCCCAATTCATATCCCCTAAAATATAACGATTTTTCTCAAAGGGCCCAAGGGTGTTACACCAGGCCTTCCTTTCATTTCAGGGCCTTTTAAGTCATGTGTTGGAGTCTATGTAAGTAAAGCTTTTTTATTAACAATAGCAGGCCAGACCCACTTTACCCATTCAGATTATTATCTGAACGTATCTGAAACGTGCATCTCTGGCCTCTACTCTAGGGACTTAGTGGGCCTTGACTTTCCGAAAAAGCCACGGGTTTAATACACTGCCACATAGTTCAGCTTCATCGCTTCTGGAATCTTCTGCTCCCTTATTCTCTCCCTGTCCAATCTTCCATCTCTCAGCTTAAGGGCTACTTCCTCAAGGCAGCTTGCCCTGTTTCCTGTTACTCACGGCATCTAATATTCTTTCTTCCTAGAAGCCACGGCACTTTGCAATGATCTCTCGGATAATCACCTACTAGGTATTATACTCCCCAGGGGCTGAGGCTGTGTCCGTCTGGGCAGCGATGCACTCCTCTCCTGTGCGGCTTCTTGCATGTGCAGGTGCACATGAATGTTTGCAGAACGATCTGAATGACTCAAAATGTTTAGCCCAGCAAATAACAACAAGAAAAAGGCAATCCAGCCTTCTGGGCCTGAAGAGGTCCATTACTGGAGAGCACAGTAACAATGGGGGAGATACCACAGTATTTTTATTTCTTTTAAAAAAGAGAATCTTTATAAAATATTCCACAGTCTTTCAACCATGGAAGCAAAAATCACATGGGGACTTCTGCCTCCCAGTGCCTTGGAGTTGTTTCCTAAAAAAACAGTCATATGCAAAGAAAAATTTGCTCACATAGGAGATAGACTGAAAAGACAGTTCAAGAGACCTTCAAAATCTGGAGATGGTCTTCTACAATAGTGAAAAGAGTCCACTGAAATACAAGATTTGGGCTCCTGGTTCCCTCTGTTTACTGACTAGGTATCTAAGTCATTCAGTATGTCTGGGCCTCCGTTTCTTAATCTGTAAAATGGGGAAAACAGAACCTATCTGACGAGGCACTATGAGGACAGAATAAAATACTAAATGACAAAGTACTCTGTAAACAACGAAGTGTCATACAAACATGAGTTACAACAGGCAGAAGCAGTATCCAGGCCAAAGCCCAACCTTCAACCAAAGAACTCTGTATGCTTCCCACAAAGAACCAGTGGCAGAGAATCATGCAGGGCCCCTTTCAGTTTGTCCCGATGCCTCCCACCTCTATGGATTTCACCCTCACCACCACTCTTCCTGTGAACCACTCAGCTGCTTGGGAGGAGTCATCCAGTTGGTCTTTTCTTCTCTTTCCTGGTCTCAATAGCCCCATTTTCTTTTACCTGTTCTGATGCACCCAATTCACATCTCTTCCCTCATCTTTCCCCCCTAATTTGGAAGCAGCTCTATTTTTCCACCAGCTCCCAAAGTTCAGGATTGTGGATCAAGACATCAGTGGGCCACACATGGGTTCCTGTCTCCACCAGTGATGGCTGGTCAAGCCTCTCTGCCCCATGGGAGGTCTTCCCTCAAGCTGAAGTGCAAACACTCCTGTGAGAGGTCACCTCCAATTGCTCAGTATCTCAGTTGTCTACCACAGACTCTGAAGTCATTCCTGACACTTTCTCCTGATAACAGAAATGACAGCAAGGCAGGCAGCACACAGAGAGCACGGGACTTATGAGATGGGAAGGATGGGGTGAAATAGACAATGTGGCAAGAGTTGGTGAGAATCTAAGACAAACTAAGGTTTCCTTCAGTTTCTGCCTTGGGCTCACCCACACACAGATGCAATGCTCATACTCACAGCCAAGGAGTGGGTGTGAAGAAAGGGTACGGGGCTTGTTGGGCAGGAAAGAAGGGAGGATCACATATGCATGGGAAATGCCTGGCTGAGAAACAATGGGACGATGGGTACAAGATGGGGTAGGGGAGATGGGAAAGGAGAAAGTGACAAATAGAGTCCAGATGCCAATGTTACTGGTATTAATGATATTATAATGCACTGCACTCTATGGCAAACTGTTAAAGTACCATTTTGTTACTTCTTTTTGTTTAAGATAGAATCTTGCTCTGTTGCCAGGCTGGAGTGCTGTGGCACAACCTTGGCTCACTGCAACCTCCTCCTCCTGGGTTCAAGAGATTCTCCTCCCTCAGCCTCCTGAGTAGCTGGGACTATGGCATGCAGCCACCATGCCCAGCTCATTTTTGTAGTTTTAGTAGAGACAGGGTTTCACCATGTTGGCCAGGATGGTCTCGATCTCTTGACCTTGTGATCTGTCTGCCTCAGCCTCCCTAAGTGCTGGGATTCAGGCATGAGCCACTGCACCCGGACACTTCTTCTTAAGAAGAGAACTTGCTATCATGAGAAAGAGAGTTAGAAAACCAGTATGGAATAAGAGCTAAATGTTTAGGTTTTAGAGTTTTCAGGACCTGAGCTTAAATCTTGAATACATCAGAGATTAACCGTGTGACGTTACTTACCCTCTCTGTTTCCTCATCTGTCAGTCAGTACCTAGCCTCCTAGGGTTTTATGATGATGGACTGTGATCATATATCTAAATAACTTTGCATGGGACCAGGCATATGGCGAGGCTCAATAAATGTTACTTCTTGTTAAATTTTACAAAACATAAGAGCTTTATTTATAAAGGTCCTTCTCTCTGATTCAAGTATTCCCTACGGCACCTTGGAGTCCAGGACAGCAACACACCTCCCCCTCTGCTATTTTCTACATGTCTGCTAATAGGAATCTCTTTCTACTTAATCAAAAGGCACCTAGCTATTCTTTCCCAGGCCTGTTTTCACAAAGGGTATTTGTCAGGCATGGGGCAGGGGACAAGGATGAAAGATGGAGAAGGTGGTGAACAGTAAAGGGAAAGAAATCCGGGATTCAAGACACATCTCTCTGGGCACACTCACCGAGTCTGGGTCTCGTTGCTGTTCAAGAAAAGCTGAAAATTCCACCAGGCGAAGCTTGGTTGTGCCAATGGAGCGACCTTGCCAGGCAGGGACCGAGGGAGCTGGGGCTGATGCAGGCTCAAAACCTGAAAGACCAATCGTCACCTGTGATGCTGGTCACTCACCTCCCCTTGGGCCTCAGGAAAATATTGGAACAGGGCTCTACAGATGACCCAGAAGGAAAGGCCAACAGCTCCCTGTCCACCAGGTCTGCCAGGGAGAACTCAGGTGATGACAGATGCTGGCTGAGGACCCCAGAGATGCTGAACAGTCAGATAAACACAAAGCATGTGTTCCTCATTAAGCCAACTTCAGCTAAGGTTAAAGGCTGCAGCCTGAGGACATCTAATCCTGGACCAACAGGGTCTACCTGGGGACCAAGTCAAGAATGACTAGACAGTGAGAAGTGAATGCTTCCAAAGACTTCCTGTGAGACTCAGATGTGCCAAACACTCCTTAAGTGTGGTCACTAGCACTATAGAATATGCTCTCTGAATGCGGCGTGGCACTGGGGCAGAGGGCAATATGTGAAAGCATTTTCAGTCTGGGGAATCCATAAGGGAGAGCAGTGACTTTTATACTGTATACCTCGAGCAGTGCAACAGAGTAATTCTACACGCACATGTGGGGATTGGGGGTGAGCTTTGTGGGCAAGAAGACAAGCAGGCTGGAGAGATTCATGTTTACCACTTTGAGCTTCCAAGTACTCTCTCCTTTAAAGAAAGGTAGCAGGACTGAAATCTACTTATCCGAGAAAGGGTGAATGAAACCCTATCTGCCTTCAAGACTTGGACTGCCTAATTAGGCCAGTTTATATTGAGGGAGGTGCTGCAGCAACTCTCCTTCTGGGAATAATCCAGCATCTTCAGTGAAAGTGATGAGGCTTCCTGTTTCTTAAACAAACCATCTGAAAAGCTCTTGGGAGATGACTGAAGGGAATCAGGACCTGGCAGGGGTTACCCTGTGGCCCTCCTGAGCTCCAGGCAACCCAGGATCCAGCAAATCAGGGGCAATGTGCAGCTGTGGCAAAGTTGAGCATCTCTTAACCCTGGGAACAAAGTCCCAGACCTAGCTGTCAGCTGGGTAGGGCTGTGCTCCCAAGAGGGAGTTTCAGGGAGACTCACCTGGAATGGGGGCTGTGACCGCTGGCTGGATGGGGTAGGCCTGCTGCACAAAAGGCTTGACGCTGGAAACAGAGAGACGGCAGGGAGAGTCAGAGATCACATCTGCAGCAGCAGCTATTACCCAGGTCCCACCATGACCTCCCAGTGGGACGTCCATCACCACTTTGGTCCCTGCCTACAGGTGGTAGCACATCCCAGGCAGAGGCAATTGTTCCATAAACTGAGAGGGACCAGCAGCCTGCTAGAGATCAAACCACCAAGCCTCATGCCAGTTCAATGGGATGCACTGGGAAGAGCCTGAATTCCATGCGTTGTGACATATGCCTTTGAACCTCTGAGGTCAAGCAGTCACCACCTCTAGGCAAAGTTTGGGACACGCTTCAGGATCTCCTTCTCTAGGCCAAGTAGTGCAAGGTTTTTTTTGTTTGTTTTTTGTTTTGTTTTTTTTACAGCATATAGGCAGGATTTCCTTTCTTTGATCCTTAAATTGCCCTTATTTTCCAGTTTCCGGAGCTTTTTTCTCTTGCCCCCAAGGGATCTAGTAGGATTTTTCTACTAGCCACCTACTACAGAACAAGCCAGAATGAAATGGGCTTCAGGATCACCTGTGCTGCCCTTTCTCAGGCAGGGAAGACCACAGCTCAGCCTTCTATACCATGAAGGAAGAAAAGTCCACTTCTTGCTTCCAGCAGGATGACTGGTGATACTTAAGGTGGGAGTGAGTGATTCTACCTCTCCCAGATCTGAAAAGCCAGTCTCTATCCTGCTAGAGGCCTCAGTAGACAATAAGAGGGGGATGCCTTCTGGGACCTCGGAGTAATGCTCCTTTCTCCTCCAGGTGCTGAGACAGTACAGTCTGGGAAGAGCTCTTCCCCATGGGCTGGGACCAGCCCCTATTTGTCAGTGCCCACCCCTCCTCAGACTTACTCTTGTGAGGATCCTGGCTGCCCTGTTTGTATCATTCCTGGCCAGAACTGGAAAGCAAAATGCAAAGGCCTCAGAATTAGGGGTTTACCTCAAAGCATAGTTCAGGATGCCTATGCATCACAACCCCTACTAAAAGACAGCAGATTCGATCACCCAACAGAATCGCCTTCCCCAAGTGCAAATGTAGTCACCACTTGCACAAGACCAGAACCTATATCCTTGGACTGGCAATCCAGAGCTCCCCTTAGCTCCTCCTTCCTGAAAATCCCCCCAAGGGCAGGGGCAGGCAGCAGCTCCTCAGCAAGCAAAGATCTGGGTGTGCTGCAGGGGGCTCGCAAATATTTTAACTGACTGAGTTATCCATGCACCTCCCTCCATTTTGAAATGTTCCCTGCGTCATATTCTGCCTCAATAGCACTGAAGGCCCAGCAAGGCAGAGGACAAAGCTTGAACAAGTCCAGGAGCTCCAAGAGGCAATGAAGGCAGCTTCTCTGTGGTGAGCTTCCCGGTGCATTTGGGGTGCCAGCTGGAGAGGCAGCATGACACAGAGGAGGGAAAGAGCAGCCTCTGGCCGATTCTTGACATCACTATCCAGTTCACTATAATCTCAGCATTCCAAATGCTTGTTTTGCTATTGAATAATCTCAGCTTTTTCATGTGTAAAATGGCAGTGACAGGGAGCATTTAAGATGACCTGGAGGATTAAATGAGATTATAACATAATGCTTGTCAGCCTTTGGGAGGTGTCAAAATGTAAATGTTAATAGAATACCTTGTCCCCTTAGGGGCTGGTTGCCTCTGAAGACAGAGGGACTGAGACCAAGGCCAGGAAAAAGGTCAAGGGAGAAGAGGCCAGCCCAACTCAGAAAGGCACGTTTAAATCCCATGTCTTCAGACACTCAGCATTCCTTCCTCTTCTTTCTCCCTCTTTTTTTCTTTTCTTCTCTTTCTCCCTTCCTCCTTCTTCCTCTCTTTCTCTCTAACTCTCTACCTCCCTTCCCTCCTTGCTTTCACCACTTTAGAACCAGTTAGCAGTTCACAGGGTAGTCTTTGCCCTCTCACACACCTGACCCACATGACAAGAGGTGGAGATGGGAGGCTTAGCACTGGCCCATGCCAACCCCAACCCCAGCAGCTATCACTACTGGACTGAGCTCATGACTTACCCCCGGCGCCCCTGGGAAGGTCGGGCGTGGAATCCCAGGCAGCCCCAGCTTGTTGTGAATGGCAGTGGCCGAAACGATTTGGGCTGAGGACATGGCCGCCATGTGCTGCAGGGCCTTATCCTTTGCAGTCTGATCCTTGAAGGTGACAGTGACACACCGACTTAATACATAATGTATGGCTACCAGGTAGGTTACACAGGCACAGCCACAAGCACATGGACTAAAATACAGAGCCACAAAATAGGCCAAAAAAGCAAACATGCATGGATAAATAACACAGCCAGAAGGCTAAACCACACTCAACCTACCATACCTCTGAACATTTACTGGGAAAACCCAATGGGGCAAGGCTTTTTCTTTTCTTTGAAGGGATTAAATCCATTTTCCAACAGAATGTGAAGCCTCTCAGAAGAGTGGACAATGTATTTTTTTTAGTTTTTCAGCTTCCAGAAGATTTTTCCAATTACTTTAAACATTAAAGGAAGAAGAAAAAATATAGGCCCTGATTTTATGCAAACTGATGGGAGGAGGGGTGACAAAGAGATGCAGCTGCGGACTGGAGTAGGATCATCCACAGAGCTCGAGGAGCCCTATCTGTGTGTGCTGGCTGTCACGGGGCCATGGTCCCAGGAGCTGCTGCGATCATGCAAGGCCTGAAAGCCCTGGCAAACACCTGGCTAGAGAGGCTCAGAAGTAGTGGGGGGTGGGGGTAACAGGGCCAAGCAGCATGCTGGCGGGGCGCATGCTTTCTCAGATACCCCTGCCATGAGGCTAATGCTACGTGGGTTCGTACTAAAGCCGGAAGCCTAGGGGATGCTACAGGTACGTGATTTCTCCTTTTCCTAAACAGGTCTTTTCTAGGAAAGCCAAGGCTAATAACACAAAGCTAGCCAAAAATTCTGCCAAGCACAGCTAAAATACAGAATACTCAGTTTGGTGAAAATACTTACCATGCTTGTTACCTGAATACAATAATAAACAATTTGTTAAAAGAATTGCATACAAAGGAATTTTTTTTTATTCTTTGGTTTAAAAAATATATATATATATGTACACAAACATATAATACTTGGGAACAATAAAAAGCATAGGGTTGGGGGCCTTTCTCACATTTTAGAAGAATCGGTGATTCAGATGGCTATCTCGAAAGGCAATGATCAGGAAGTGCATCCAATAACAGCAATAATCAAAAATTACTCCAACTCCTTTACACTGGTTCTGTGGCTTCCCCGGGACAGATGGAGAAATGGTCACCCTCCTGTTGTGAGGCAGGGGCAGGGCTTTAAGCTTTGTAGGCATGTAAACACTCCTGTGTGCCAGTAGAGGGTCTATACTCCACCATGCCCAGATACCATCAAAGGAGAAACAAAATGGTGACACCAAAATAAAAAGAGTGCTTTCCACCTCCAGGGAATGTCAAAGGGAGCTTCAGGCTAAGACACCAAGTACCAGCAGAAAGGGTGCTTCAATGCTTACTGATACAACCTAACGTGATGAAAAATACATCAAGGTGTCAAAGGCAAGGCCAAAAGGGTTTTAAAAAAAATCAAAGCCAACAAACAACTACTAGAGGCTTCTAAGAAAGCTCTGTTAGGTGTTCCCAAGGTGTAGACACAACTTTGCCCTATAACTGCCAGGCACACCAAGTGAATTTCCAAAAAGCTTACATTAACCTTTGAAAAAGCACAGGGGAAGGAGAAGGGGAAGGGGAAGGGGAAGGGGAAGGGGAAGGGGAAGGGGAAAGGGAAGGGGAAGGCATGGTGGCTCACACCTGTAATGCCAGCACTTTGGGAGACTGAGGTAGGGGGATCACTTGAACCTAGGAATTTAAGACCAGACTGGGCTACAGAGACCCTATCTCTACAAAAAATAAAATTAGCTGGGAGTGGTGGTGTACTTCTGTACTTCTGGCTATTCAAGAGGCTGAGGTGGGAGAACTGTTTGAACTTGGAAGATCAAGGCTGCAATGAGCTGTGTTCATCAAGCTACTGCACTCAAACTTGGGCAACAGTGCAAAACTCCATCAGAAAGAAAAGAAAAAAGAAAGGAAGCAAGGGAAGGAGAGAAAAAGGAAAGGGAATAGGATAAGGGAGGGGAAGAGAGAAAGGAAAAATAAGCCTAACACTTGCTTTTTTTTTTTTTTTTTTTTGAGATGGAGTTTTGTTCTTGTTGCCCAGGCTGGAGCACAGTGGTGTAATCTGGGCTCATTGCAACCTCTGCTTCCCGGCTCAAGCAATTTTCCTGCCTCAGCCTCCCGAGTAGCTGAGATTACAGGCATGTGCCACCATGCCCAGCTAATTTTGTATTTTTAGTAGAGACAGGGTTTCTCTATGTTGGTCAGGCTGGTCTTGAACTCTTGACCTCAGGTGATCCACCTGCCTCGGCTTCCCAAAGTGCTGGGATTACAGGCGTGAGCCACCACACCCAGCCACATTAATTTTTGTGTCTTATACAGGACTCTGGCTGACTGAAAAACTAAGGAGCCTCAAACAACAGCTTTTCATGAATGCTCAGGGTCATTATGAACATCTGTAATGACACCTGCCGTGGCCAAGTGACACTCTAAGGACCCCGGAATTGGCAGAAATCCTGGGCCTCAACAGAAAGGCCAGGGTGACTCAGAGTGATCTTTTTTGCTGCTATCTCCTTCTCCTCAGATGACATTCTTGGGGTTGAGGCTCCATCTGCTAATGTGTCAAATGCTCTAACCTAAAGCTAGCTTCCTAAGCTAATTTTTTTAAAAGATTTGAAACATTTCAGATACTGAGGATGCCTGAAAAAAGACAAATCTTGAAGCGGATGGGATTTTATGATAAACTGACAAACTGAGCCCATACATGCAGATCTCAGGGCCAGGCAATACTGTTGGCTATTCCGTGGTTTCACTGCTCCCCTCTGGTCCATCCCCTCAGAGGGTAGCCCATGAATAGAAACCACGGCCCCAGTCACACCTACTCCATTCCCCGTCAAGAACACCCTGACATCAATACAAGTCCATGGGTTTCTCTTTGTCCAGTCACTCTGGACTTCAGCCCCGAAGCCACTTAACCCCTAATGAGGGGTTACAAACGCTCTCAAGACAGATTTGTGAAACTGAGATAATGGCACAGGTATGACCACAGGTGCCTTCCTCAGCACAGAATAAGCCTTATAACTTCTCTGGGGCCCAGTCAAGGGGGTTATAAAATGGCAGTATAGACATCTTACCTGCCTGCCTGACACATCTGAGCAGTAACTACAAAAGAACCTGTGGGTTTGGCTCCATGCCAGAACATCGTGGAGCCTCTCAGGGACCTGAAGAGTTCCACGTTGAAATGCTGCTGACAGAGACGGTTCTGCTTGCCCAAACACAGACTCCGTTTGTGCACACTTGGGTGGGGCAACTCATGAATTTTAAGTCCAGGTCCAAATGGAAATGAGTTCCCTGCATCTCTACATCCCGCTTTATTGAGTTGCTTGCAATAAACCTGAGGTTTATTAGAAATCATTTGAAATCTTCATACAAGTTTGATACTCTTTTTTGAATCAGGGAAATTAGCCAGTGTGGAAAAGAAAAAAAGTTACCTATCTTTGTTGTTTATGTCACACAGCTTCAGAACGTGATCTTTTTCTTCTGTTACACCAAGTAAGATTTTTGACTGTCTCATTACCCAGCATTTCACCAGGTACCCAAGTGAAAACAGGAGTTCAAGCGCAGGAGAGAAAACCAATTGTTTTTATCGCAGCAACTTGCTCCAAGACTGTAAAAGGTGAACCCACTGGGGTGTCAGGAGACCGGGCTCCAAACCTGCTGCTGCCCAACATTAACGAGCTGCATTATGTGGAGCAAGTCATTTAATAACTTCTAATTTTCTTTACTTACAAAATAAAAAGTTGCACATTATCATCTAATGTATTTCTGGTTTTAAAGGTCTCTGTAGCTATGAGGGTAAATTCCATTATAACCAAATACTTTTTTATGCATATAGTCAAGGAAATCACTAGCAAGAAGTCAGGATGCTAAAATTTGGGCAGCTCTTGGCTGCCTGACCTAGTAGACAGAAGGCAAAGTGTGGAAAGGAAATTTTATCTCAAGTAGAGAGGTTCTTTCTGCACTTGACCTACCTATTTGAGAATAGGCAATTTTCTGCTAATGGACTAAAACATCTATACCAGTGATTCCCTGCCTTTTGTGGTCGAGCTAATCGGACTACTCATTTAATTTTTATGACATCTCCCCCTTTATCTAAAATATATTGAAAATTAAAAGGATTAAAATGTTTTGTTTAAAAATCTAAAGCAACCCTGGAAATAATACGCACCACCAGGGATATCTTGAAATCAGAACCAAGGGCCTGACTGAAGACCCACTTATCCTGAAATGGGAATTCGGAAAGACGCCAAGCTAAGAGATTTCAATGGAAGGATCTCTATCTAAATTGTCATTTTTAGCCCAGTGATACCAGCCTGGCTTTGAAAAAATAGCTCTAAGTGTCAGACCCAAGTGAACTGTTTCTGTCACTCTGGTCTAATATCCTGGACTTAAAAGCATTCGACTCTGTCCTCATTACTCATCTCCACTCTAAAGGGGAGGAGGCTCATCTATCCAAACAAATCAAGATAAGTAAATTGAAAAACATATGCTACACTTGTATACCACACTAATTTTAAGATGTTTTCACACCACCATTTCTGAGATATGGATGAAATTTACAAAGGATGACCACATTGTTTTATCTTGAAAAACCATTAATACTGAATTATGCTCTATGAAGTCTTAGGCTACAAGACATATTCTGAGTGTGTATGTGTGCACATGAGCAAGAATAAGAAAAATGCATCCTAGAAAAAAGCTTGGACAAGTTCACACTGACTCCTTATTACTGACTTTCCATCCTTCTATTCTTAAGATTACAAAGAATGAGGTCATAAAAGTCAAATGTTTGGGGAGTAGGGAAAGAAAAGAGAAATCGCTCCTTTCCAACTGAACCCCAACCCAAGCCCATGACCTGCAATGAAGAGAACACTCATGCAGCAGGAACCATGGGTCTACGGAATTTTCATGTGGAAGAGGATGGGTTCTAAGAACAAATGGTCCAACTGACCTGCGACTCGGGATGCTTGCCACATCATCTACCCTACTTTTGTCATTATCCAATTTCCAGCACACCACACTCAATGGTCTTGCTGCCTCTGCTACATGGTCCAGCAGTCTGTGTCATGCATAAACTCCTCGACCTGAAGCCTTACAAATTGTTATTATTCCTAAGTAAAAACAGGCTTTCATATTTCATGAAGCAGAACAAGGCTACCGCTGCTATAGCTCTCTGTTCTACTGACTGCCTCCTTTTTATGATTGAAATGGACACAATGTTTGGAAAATGTCTACATGTAATATACATGACAGGAAGGCAACAGTATCACAAACGCACATGGCTGGAGTGGTGTGCTTTTAAAACTCGAGGACATCTCATGGATCAGTGTGGATATTAGAGGAGGCTTATTCCCCAGTCCTCCATCTGCTTCCCAGCTTTTGATTATTCTACAAAATCAATTACCTCATACTCTATAGGCATTACCATGAACAAATTTTAAAGATAATATAAAAAGGTTACATGCTTGCATATACAATATATGATAGTTGCCATATATAGAATTTTAATGTACAGCATAATCAGTACATTCAAACAGTTTACTCATGGGCCATCATTTCAGAATTTAAAGATAGGATTCCAATCTGATTTATTCATACAGAAGTCCATCAAATACATTAGAAAAAATGATAAAGTCAAAAAACAACCATGGATTCAAAACCTCTTGATAGTAAATGGTTTTTCTCCAAATATGCTTTAACCAGCAATATAACATACTGCAAGGCAGGAAAGACAGCAATCTGCTTGCAAAATCACTTTTTTGGAAAAGGACAAAACACAAAATACTTTTCCTAAGAAGTAATTTTGCAGATGTTGTTTCTAATCTTGCACTACTATGTGGATTCACATGACCTCTGCAATTATTAGCCATACCCCTTGAGCAGATAAATATCACAGAACTATAAGATGGTCTTGGAGAAAGGTTGGAGGCACTTGTTTTTTTTCTCTAGCTATGATCTCTAATTTGCTTATCATTAGAAAAACCAGGAGTAAATACAGAAGGAGGCTATTTCGGTCAGGTAACAGCTAATGCAGAGGAGACAAGGCGTACTCATGCCTCTCCTGACTTGCTACCTAATGAGTGGCAATTAATTCATCTTACTGTATTTCCAAATGCCAAAGACTCCATTCACATCCAAGGAAAAATTTTCAAGGCTTTTACCACTGTTCATTTTTAAAGGTACTGAGCTGTATTTAGCATTTTATAATTGTCAACAGCATTTCCTTTAACTCTGATGTAGGGGTTCACATCATAAAGGATTGTAGATGAGGATGATGGCTGAGCAGACTCATAGGTATGCCTCAGGACTCTCTCCCAGGAAGCCTGGGATTTAAGACAGCTTCCTGCTGGATCCTGGTATCCAGGAGAATGCACCATTCTGACCTTAGTCCCTTTTTCTCTGGGAGGTGACAGCAAGGGACCAGAGGAACCCAAACTGCCTCCAGGCTCAAGTTAAGCTCCAGAGTGAGTTCTAGCTCCCATTGTTTATCTTCTGTTTCCTTCAAATACACAGACACAATGAAGAGGGCTCAGTGGAGGGAGGCAAATGCAAGGCATCCCAAGTCAGGAAAACGAACCTCATCCTGGACTCTTTGGGAAGGCAGCAAGGCATCCTACAAAGAGCTTGGCTTTTGGCACCAGATATCCCTGGATCAACTGCAGACTTGTAACTCTAAAGAAGTCAGTTAGCTATTCTGAGCCTCTGCTTCCAAATTCATAAATTGAGGACAAAAAACACTCCCGCCATTCGGTACTGCTTCAAGTACTCAGTACCATGCTTGCAGCCTTGCCCCTGGGTGAGCTTGCAGTCTACAGGGCCCAGGTGACTGACTGGCTTTCCAGGCTGGATCCTGCATGGGACCTGAAATGCTCAGGAGCTCTGGTCCTCACTAGATAATCCTCGGGATCAATATCATTCTATGGCATTATCTAAGTTGGAGGCCGACTGACAATGGGATTTCTCTACGGAGAGATAAAAATATAGAATGATGAGGCTGTTTCTCTTGCCCTTAAAAACAAAATCCAGACCTGGCTCAGTTCACACAGAATTATCTTTGTTTATCTACATATTCAGTGCTCTGGCTACCAACATTAAGTTCTCCATCACCACACTGTTGGTGAGTGGTTCTAATTGAAGCCTCAGAAATTGAGAACGGGAAACTCCAGGAAAGACTGTATCATTTCCCAAATCCCATGACACGGCCAAGTGTCTTGGAGCAGACACAGACAGAGGAGGTTGTTGCTCAGGCTTTCCTTGACTCCTGCACTGCTAACAGCCAAGTCTTGAAGGAGCAGAGTGGCTCAGGAGGCCTCACACGGCCCCACACTTCACAGAGTGAAGTGAAACATGCCTATCTTTCCTGTGGACAGGCCCATTCCTGGATGGAATCAGTGATGATACAAACATGATTCAGCAGTACGGACTTCAGCAATGCCCTGGTGAAGTTCTTGAACTCAAAAGAATTAAATCAACAATTTGAGATTTAAGCTCTCTGCTTATTGGAAAGAACAGAAGATTGGAAAGAATGGCCTGTTCAGAAATCAAATCACAAAGGCCACCAGGGTGAGAATGAAGAAAATGGCCCTGGGGGAGCACATGTATCTCATAAATTAGTCACCAGCGGCTGGACATAATCAGAGAGGCTCAGGTCTTTTTCTGCCCTACTGGGATGATGCAACATCAACAAGTCAGGTTTCTCTTCAGTACACATCCAGAGCCTGATATGAATACATCTATTGCCTAAGATGTATTCCTGCTGAGGGGAGGGCACAGTGAAGACTTCCTTTCTTCCTCTTAGTTTTGCCCTGAGACATACCCTCACCCACACACACTCAAGAAGTGAATCAGAGATGGCCTGGCCCAACTACATGGGAAGATGGAGACGGTCCACAGTGTGGTGTTTCCCTGACCTTGGCCGTGGCTGCCACAAGCTTCTGAAACCAGCAAGAAAAGATTGCCTTTTTTGCTGCTAGTGCGGAAAGGAGGACTCTGAGCAGGGTCTGAACAACTTCTTGGGGCAACTGAACATTCAGAGAAAGCGACTCAGGCATGGAACTCTACAAAGAAACTCTAAGTAGGAAAGAAAAGACTGCTTAACACATGGAGAATGCTTCTGCATTCTTTCTACATGCTGGGATAATAAATCCCTGGAGCTTAAAAAAACACTTAATGACTTTTTGATGAATTAATGGTGAGTGAAACAATTCGAAGTAGAGAATAATTTCTAATGCTGTGAGCTAATCCTCAGACATGCTTCTGCTTCTCACTACTCCACTGGAGATACCAGTACAGGCTAAACTAGGGAAAGGGTGAATAGAAGAAAACAGGTAAAGCTGCTGTTGGTGACATTGCTGTTGCTGCAGCTGAGAAAGGTCCAAGAGAGACCTCTAACTCAGCATCCTTGGTATTCTTAAATGGATATTCCACAGTCCTAGAACCATCTTTCACACTGCAACTGCATGGATGCATCTTCTACTTTAGAAGCAGACTCAGGCCCAGCTACAGGCTGTGGGCCACCTATAACACCTAACCCCCCTTGAGAGCAGTGGGTCAAACAGGTGTTGTCTCAGCAGGGGCAAAACACATGGCACTCCCATCACTGAGAAACAACTCCTCCAAAGCTAAGTTCTCTTCTAGGCCTGCAGTTAGTACTCTAGCTTCTGTCCTAGACATTTTAATGATGCTCCAACCCAGTGGGGGAAGAAAAAAAAAATCCCCACAACTCTTAATGTATGTATTTAATTTCCAAAATTATTATGCTCTGGCCACAAATTCCTTTTATTTCTCTTCTCCATCATACTGGGCACTTGAATCTCAGCTGCAATCTACTGGTGCTTTCTCTCTATTCTTCCAGGTTCTCTGCTCTTGGTTCACTGTCTCCTTGCATTACTCCCTTACTAGTTCAACCATCCCCTTTATTTCCTTGCCCTTGTATCTCTCTTATAGTCATGGTCTATATCCAAGGTCATCAAATTGTTGGCCAAGTCTATCTTAACTTAAGCGGCTAAAAATTCCAAAGGAAATGTCTCATGTTGGTGCCAATGGCTACTGCACATAATCATGGTAGATAACGTGGCAAAAATCAGCCGGGCATGGTGGCTCACATCTGTAATTCCAGAATTTTGGGAGCCTGAGGCAGGCAGGTCACTTGAAATCAGGATTTTGGGACCAGCCTGGCCAACATGGTGAAACCCCATCTCTACTAAAAATACAAAAATTTGCTGGGTGTTGTGGCGGGCACCTGTAACCCAAGCTACTTGGGAAGCTGGGGCTGGACAATAATAGCTTGAACCTGAGAGGCAGAGGTTGCAGTGAGCCAGATGGTGCTACTGCACTCCAGCCTGGATGACAGAGCGAGACGGAAGGAAGGGAGGGAGGGAGGGAGGGAGACAATGGACACAAATCTAGAAGCAAAAGGAAGAGAGAGTTTTCACTAGATTTGATTTTCTAAGGGAAATAAATGGCAAGGAAAGACAATGGATGGAAGGAAAGAAAGGGAGATTAATTTTGGTTGAAGAAGGAGGGTGGATAGAGGAAAAAGTGCAGAATAATGTTTGCCCCTTGATTTTTCATTTTAAGAAAACTTAAACATATAATGAAAATGATCATTTCCAGGTAGTTTAAACATGAGTGTTTAATATGATACTCTCTGTACTGTTTAAATTTTGTATGTTTCAAATTTTGCAACAAAAACTTCATAGTTTTGATGCACACTCCCAGTTAATTACCATTACTTTATGAAATTTTTTGAATAATTTAATTTTTAAATGCTGCTATTGAAAATCTTTCTGAAAAGTTCTGGCACACAATACTTTCCGACTTCATAAGGACAGAACTTAAAAATTTATAATTTGTTCTGTAAACACAATGAGTAGGAAAGAGTACAGAGCAGGCAGACTGCACTGAAGTAGGGACGCCAGCCAAGGATGAGTGCTACGAAGTAGTCCCAGGGGTGTGGGTCAGCCCCTGGTCCAGGCCTGCGCCTCTCTTCCCTACTCTTTTTTGAAACAGAGTTTTGCTCTTGGTGCCCAAGGTTGAGTGCAATGGCATGATCTCGGCTCACCGCAACCTCTGCCTCCCAGGTTCAAGCAATTCTACTGCCTCAGCCTCCCAAGTAACTGGGATGACAAGCGTGCGCCATCACGCCCAGCTAGTTTCACATTTTTAGTGGAGATGTGGTTTCTCCACCTTGGTCAGGCTGGTCTTGAACTCCCAACCTCAGGTGATCCACCCACCTCGGCCTCCCAAAATGCTGGGATTACAGGTGTGAGTCACCGTGCCTGGCCCTTCCCCACTGTTGAAGCAGACCAGGAATTAGCCTCTCTGATCCAGCGTGGCCTCCCTTTTATTAGCTATCCTGCAAAGACCTGGCGAGGTCTTTCTAGAGTATAAATCTGAATGACCCCCGTGTACACTCTGAGGCCCATAGATAAATCCCTGCTCCTCAGTGGGATGATCCAGGACCCTTCCCTTAGGCTCCTCTAGTCTCACCTCCCACTGCATGCCCCCAAATACATGATGTTTTTCATGGTCCCTCAGATAGTCCCAACTTTATGGAACTTCTCTGCCTTCAACTATGTTTAGTTCTAAGGATAATTCTCCATAAAGCTTTCTTTAATTCCCTCACTCTCAGAATGAATCATTCTTTTCACTTGGGTAGGCTTTGTACTGGAAAAAAAAAAACAGCATTCCTTAAGAACGCAAACTCTAGATTCAATTCTACGGACCCAACATCTACAAAAAGGCCTAGAATACACTGGGTTCTCAATGAAAACCACTGGACTGAATTCCTTTGCTTTTCAAGTTCAAATCTATGTAGAAATCTTAGACTTTCACTAAACAATTTTTTCTTTACTAAAGTTTAAGTCTACACACTTTGAGGGTAATCTAGTCCACACACAAACACACAGAGAACAACTGCCAATTAGCAGTAGCATAATGCTGACCTTTAGAATTTATTCTAACAGATTCTCAGGAGAGTAACTTTGGTAGCTAGGATGACTCATTTATCAATATGAGTCTGTTTTCTTCCAAAGAACACGGCAGAACTTATAAACTACAGAACTTAGAAACACAGGCTTTAAATGGGACACAGGAGCTGTCTGTAGAGGCTGGAAGGGACAGCGTAAGAGGCAGACACCTCCTTTCCTTCTGCCTAAAACAGGTGGTTTTTTAAACCTGATTCAATGGAGTAGCCTAAGGCGCCATTACTAAGGATTTGAGAGGGTGAGCTTCAATTAGAAACATGAATTTGGCTGCTTTAAAAAGGCTGGAAAACACAAGCCTGAAGAACTTCACCACATCCTTCCCCAGGAAGTAAAAAGAAGCTTATAGGCAAGAAGGCTCCCAAGGAAGACACAAGGCCTCCAGTGTGGGTAAGCCGCTTTTCCAACTCCACAAAGGAAAAGACAAATTCAAGCTTGCCCTTGGTCTTCACCGTCTGATGTGTGAAGTGGTGACCAGCCTGGCTAGGGCAATGCCCACAAGGACAGTTCCTGGGATGGTCAGCCACCTGCTCCAGGAAGCCTTCTTACATCTTCCCAGGCAAAGCACAGTGTCTTTTATGCTTGGATACTTCCTGCTACTGCTCCTTACTCGCCACTACCCAGAAGTTATCCTTGTTGTCTTTTGTCTCAATTTTCTGTAGCGAATTTTTCTCAGCAGCTAGTGTGGGGGGCCAAGAAGACCATGGCTATCAGCCTGACCCCATGATGACCTCAGTACAGATGCTTGTCCCAGCCTCCTCAAAAACGTGCTATTAGACTCCAGAGCTGAACAAGGGGGTTTGGATGGAGCTGGGACACCAACAGAGTTGAGTCCATATCCTGGTAGTGGCTGGTTAGGAAGGTTAAGTACATGGCCTTTGGGATAAATGTTCATGGAGGGAGTGAAAGCAGCACCATCTCCTGCAAGCAGGGGACAGCCAGCCTTACTCTCTGTGACTGTCCTGGTGATGAGCAGCTCTGTCTCCAGGACCACGTCATCCCCTCAGTTACTCATGACCCTCGCAGCGCCAACCCAAACTAAGTCCACATTTTGTCCAAGGGCTCAAAGTTAAAATGTGGATGCTAAGTGAAGGGCTGGTAGCAAAGGATGAATGCCCAGCACCAAAGACTTGTGAGGGGTGACAGATTAGGTAGGTACAGTGTGCTGGCGTGAAGCCCTCTGCTTGAAAACATTCTCCCACTTGTGCTAGATAAAATTTTATCTAAAGGAACAATTCATTTAGAATGCAAAGAGATCTGAGTTCAAATTCTGACCTTACCACTTACTAGGAAGGCTTGGTGACCCGCTGATTACACTCTCTCTCAGCCACAGGTTCCTCAATATTATGCCCCAAAAGCAGAATACTGTAAATCACTCCACAGTGAGCTTAAATGAAGGAATATGCATTGGGATGCCTTTCATCATCAAAGTCCCAAACTTAAGAGTACATCTCCGTGAAGTTCATCCCTGGGATGCCCCCCACCACATTTGATTTTGGCTGCTCCTGCTAACACTTACCCAAATTGCTTCTCTAGTTTACATTCCCATTTACACGGCAAGCTCCCTGAATAGGGGCCTGGCTGTTAACTGCACATCACAGTGAGCACCATGCCTGGAACACTCAGTTGGTGTTAGCCGATAGAAAAACAAAGGACTCTATTTTTCCAAGAATAATATGGGAAGAAAGAAGAGAAGAAACTACAAGAAGATGGAGGTGGTTCTTGGAGCTTAAATGCTGAGCCAGTTGCTATCCTACTGCTTCTGTCTCTGTCTCTTCCTTGTGCCTGCCCCAAAAGGGAGTAGGCCAGAGCAGAAAGTCAGGGGACTATTTCTTTTTTATCAGTAGTAATTTTTTTAAGAAACAAAGGCAAATACAGCTGTGTATTTTTACATATGCACATGTATAAAGCAATAGAGAAATTGTTTCTATGGAAGAAAACTCTAAAATTCACTAAGTGAGAAAAAGAGTGCTTCCTACATCCCATGGGAATCGCTTCTGAACAGTAGAGCTTTACTCATTACTTATTGGGCTTTCTGTCTAGGGCTGTGTGCCCTGGTGAGGCCATAGAAATCACATAGACAGTGCAGAAATAGAGCAATTCATATCATCACAGATGGAAACAACATTGTTATCTGTAAACTTCTTTGTACATCATTAATTCATTAGCTCAGAGAAACTAGAAACAGAGTCAGAACTTGAGCAAAAACTGGGGTAGTTACATTCATATAGAGAGTATTGCACCTTTGGTTAAAAAGCAGGATCTATAAAGTTATCTTAGTCTTCCAACTGCTCAGCCAGTGCAGCTAAAAGCCAGCCACCATCAGCCACACGTGCGAGCGAGCCAGCATGCTGCCCACTGCAGAGGGCACACCAAATGCACCTTCCTAATCGCTTGTCCTATTCCACAGCCAGCCTTGTTTGCATAAAAAAAGTCAAAGGACTTTGGGAAAATCCCAATGTTCACCATTCAGTGTTGTGAAATTACACTGTTTTTTAGTTCAGAACAAAACCACAAATTTAATTACTGTACAGAAAAATATCGGAACAGAACAAAAAAAGGCACATGGGAAAGGCTTCAATATGGGCCAAAATCAATTGTTATTATAAATGAAGGCTCCTTCTTGCAAACTATAATTGCTTTACATTTCTAAAACAGGGCATTATAGAAAAATAAAAGTCAGGTATGTTTTATTATAAATTTTAGAAAGGGAAAAACTAGAAAGAAGTTGAATTTTAAAAATTACCAATGCCCCCATTTTTCCTATAAAATATATTCTGAGACTGAAATATGAGGCACAAGTAAAAAAAATTTTAAGTAAACTCAAGTACAAATAAAACTGCAAACGGGTTTGATCAAGAGCTTTCCCATCTCTAAGATCTATCTTTTTTTTTAAAAGGCCACTCCTCAGATTTCTCTTTTAATAAGAGTGCCATTTACTTAAAAAACAGTAGTAAGCAATGTGGAAGAAATCTGGCTGAAAATACTCTGCTGGAAGAGACATGCATCAAAAAGATGTATTTTTTAATAAGTATTCTTATAAATACATCAAAAGCACAATTGAAAATTTCTAAATGTTTTTTAAAAAGTAATTTCATGATCACTTTAGAAATTATTCTTTCTAAATAATTTCTACTTAATATTGCATCTCTGGACTTTTTATTTTATTTTTTTAAGCTTTTCTAGCCCAGGGCTGCTTGGTGGACATCTGAAGGTTAAAAATAAAATCATGTTTCTGTGCTGAAAAGTTATCAAGACCAGCTCTCTGCTGCATTTGCATTGTTATTAGAAACACACACACACACACACACACACACACACACACGCAAACACACGCACACAAACGCACGCACACGCACACATTGAGTTTAATGTGAGGCTAGTACAGAAACAGAGAGATTAAACACAAAGAAATGTAAACAGCTCTCACATGCAAGGAAACTAGGTTACGAGAATCCCAGCACCAGGCATTCACCAGTCACCATGGAAAACAGGAAGTGAGATGCATAGCAACCACAAGCCAAAAAGCAGAAAAGCGCATACCTTTAGCTTGGAATGAAAATCACGAGATTTCCTTCTGGCAAGAACCTGAATGTGACTAGACACCTGCAGGGTAGGGGAAGGGAGGAAAACAAAGGAAAAGCCTGTAACCATGGAGATGAAAAGCCCCCTACAAGTGGGCAAGCCAGACGTACCTTAATGGCGGCTTGAATTTCTCGAACTTTCTTTCTTGCTAAGACCTGTATATGACTAGACACCTACATTGTTCGGGTTTATGAGGGGAAACAAAACAAAACAAAACAAAACAAAAAAAGGAAATCAAATATAAAATCTCTACTCCTTGGGAGGGTTTTGGGGTGGGGTGGGGGTGGTTATTTGCATCTCAACAAAGCTCTGCAGTTAGGAATACACAGTCCCAGCCAGACACAAGCCCCCAGCGCTGCTCTAAGCTTTTCATACTGGGTCATCACTGCAGTGACTTGATTCAGGATGAAAGTTAAGACTCATCTTAGTTTTCCCACCCGAGAGAAATCATGGGCACTGGGAAAAACTAATTTTGGGAGGGATGAGAGGGGCTGTTTTCATTCTAAAATTAAAAAGAGGGGGGTAAAGGTAAATGAAAATATTTATAGCTTCTCAGTATCAGGAGGGAAAATCCCTTTTTCTCAATTTAGAAGGAGGCTATCCATAAATTAGCACATTCTGCAGAATCAAAAAGCTGAAGCTGTCAGTTGTATTCTGATCTCATTAAGAGCTCCGGATTCTGTAGCAAATGTTAAAATAATACTGACATGTAAATTAGATCTCAAAGAGAAATGGAAAGACCCAGTTAGTAGAGCATTTTTTTTTTTTTGCCCTTATAAATATCTTTAATCCTTCCACTCTTTTGAGTATTGACTGGGCGCCAAATGGATTTGCATATTATTACAAAGCGAAATGTGTGAATACAGCCAGCCAGCCATCCTGTTAAAAATCTGGGTTGAAAACCACACGGATTTGCTGAACAACAAATTCACATTGGAGAGGTATCACCAACTGCTGCCTAAAACCATCCCCAGGATGCCGCGGTGTGGAAACATAGCCAAGTCCAGCTTCTGAAACACATTTGATTCCACTGAAATTTGCATCTCTTTCAGTGGGACTTGGTTAAATTTAGAAGAGTCCCCAGTGAAGGGGTCACCGGGCAAATGACCAGAGGTCACAAACCAGGAGACAGCCCAGGTCCCACACTGTCAGTATGCAGAAGATTAGATCTGCCTGTTTCTGAAATTTAGAACCTTCCATTTAAAAGTTCAGCGACTCAGACTGCGTGGTGATTACCCCATATCCAACTCTCCAGCGGCTCTAAAACAGGATTTATGATAATAAACAGTCCTTTTATCTTTAACTTTGTCTTTGAGCTTCAATTATTCAATTATTTTTTTTTCCATCCTTTGCTTTGGTACTTTTCTTTTTCTAAGTATGGAGAAGCAGAAACTCCCCCATCCTCTTCACCCCTCCATCTGGCTCCTGCTGTTACTTGTTTTCAACCGAATTTTGTTCTTCTGTGATTCTTTGACTTGATGAGGGCCACTGTCAGGGGGGAGCATCCCCCAAACAGACAATGCGCTGCCTCTGCACGCTGGCAGGAGGCCACTTCTCTTTGTGCTGACTCAGCAGCCAGGCTCCCAGGCTGTGGCACAAGTAGCATTCCTGGGGAAAAGCCTCTCCCCGTTATAAACACTCATGAAGACAATTCCTCACTGGGAAGAGAACTGAAATCTGCTGCTCAATCTTAATGAGACCACAGTTTAGCTTGCCTTTTGGTCTGATTAGTTTTTTAAGATTCATGCCTATCATTCAGCATAAATCAACATTTTAAAAAATTCTTCTCTGTTAACAACTCACCCATGAGGTTTTGGGGATTTTTCCCCCCCCTCCTTTCTTTTTCTGTTTTTAGTTAAACACTAATTTCTCATCCATTCCAGTTCTGAGCTGGCTCATGTCAGAGATTGGGGCTGTTTTACATCTGAAAGGAGGGAAGGCAGAGCCCTGACAAAGGGCAGAGAATTCCTGATACTGTTCTGCACAGAGGTATTAAAGTTGTAACTTCATTTCAGTTACAGCAGCTACTGACAAAAAGCCATCACTTAAGAAGCAACAGTTCCCTGGACGCACATCATTTAGCATTACATTCAGGCCAATACTCAAGGCTGCTAGTGCTACTTTTTCACTGAAATGATGACTAATATATAATCGTTCCAGGATTTGACAATGCACAAAATTTCATGAACTGCAAGTGCATTTGCACCTGCAGATTTTGCAATGTTCGCAGGTGCACATTTTGGGAAAGAAATGTCAGCTTTGAAATACATTACAGGAGCGGTTCATATACCGTCCTTAGCAGTGACACTTCCCGAATGAGTATGAAAGAATCTTGCAAGACCACATAATAAAGGGTCACTGAAATGATGAACAGTGAAAACTGAGCCAATTTAAAATACCTCCAACACTGACGTTCTTACAGGGAACTCAAATTGGGGGCTCCTAGGAGCCAAAGCATAGCCAGCCATTGCAGCCAAAATGCCTTTTTGGGCCATTCGCTGACATGCACGATTTCCAGGTGGGATATTTTACCTGTTTTCTGGTCCTCGTCTTGCCTGTCCTGAGTTTGATGTATCTGGCTATCAATTCATTCCTACCTGAAAGAAAGAAGAATTTACCATGAGGTGGGTTACCAAAAAAACGAAACCAACAAAGCCATTGAAAGAAAGAAACAATTCAGAATCAAGAATTTTAAAACTGCAACTATGCATTTACTAATGCTAGAAAAATAAAACAGCACAATTGTCTGCAAAAATGTTTACTAGGAAAAATTATGATGAAAGGCATTTAATTTTCAACTTAGACCAGCATCTGAGAATAGAAATTTATCTTTTTGAAATGTGCCTTTTGTTTGTTTGTATGCTTGTACCTAAGTGGGAGGTGGGTCACTCATATAAGCAACAAATAGTAACAAGGATTAGTCTGGAAATAAACCCAGTTATGTTCTAGTCTTTGATTTTTCATGTTCACATTCATATTCATTTCCCTTCTCATTCAAGTTTCTTCTCATTATGAGAAGAAGATGATTATGAGAAGAAGCCACAAGAAGAGGAACGAGCTGGTGTGGCCACAGAAGCCCTACAATGACAAGAAGCTAACAGTATGAAAGGAGATACCCCCTAAAGGTGGTCAGTGAAAAAGATGACTCAGTTTCCTCCAAGTTATATAACCTTCTGGGGAAAGAACAATGCCTAAAAGTATAAACAAAAACCTTCCACCCCTACCCACCAGGAAATTGAGAAGTCTCAGATAACCTGACTTCCAAAAACTATAATATAACAGGAAAATATGTCCCCAGAAGCTAAGCAGAGAAATGTATTACCTAAGATACCATGTGAAAAAAAAAGCCACTCATACAAGACATAGGTTCTTCTGAGGTCATATTTATGACTTCAATCTGCTCTAATACCAAGAACCGAAATTATTTCTACATACTCTATACAGTAAATGGAAAACCACCATTTCATAGCACTACTGTTGGCTGGCTTTGTATCAGCCCAGCTCCATCCTTGTGAAAATCTCCTTTGGTCAAGAACAAGCCTGAAGTCCGCTGCTGTGAAATTCACTCATGTGCTTCACCAGCCTGAGACCGTTGTGCTAGATTCTACTTTGCCTTCAACGCTCCACTTGGATGTCACTCCCTTGGGGAAGTCTTCTCTAATCGCACGACAAGGTTTGATTGCCTGCTCTATACCCCCATGGCAGCACAAACTGCACTTCTTCTTCCTAGTATGTATCCAAATTGTAACTGTATTTATAATGGCATAGATAGTTGTAAAATTTGTGTTAGCTGTCTTACTTCTTCCCAGATATACACCATACTTGAAGAGGGGGAGAACTCTGTTTTCTTCCTCATAGCACCTAGCACCTTGCTGGGCACAGAAAATAGGAATGAATGAAGAAATAACACAGCCTCTGTTGAAAGGGAGTGACTATATCCCCCAGATCTTCCCTGGCAGAGTAAAGAACTAGAAACGCTGATGGGACCAACATCAAAATGTCCTTAGGGAAATCTTGTTTGAGAATTCCAAAGACTCTCATCACTACCTAGAATGACAGAGCCTAGACATAGTCATGGCTCTGTCCACCACCTGCCAGTGTTGGGACTGTGCAGGACACGGTCATCACTGGAAGACAAAGGAATCACGAAATTTTGGGGCTGGAAAGTACTCCTAGGTCATCCATTCCCATTCTTGAAAGTCTAAAAGTCTTCAGAAGCCTAAGTCAGCACTTCTGAAATTGAGGAAGTAGCCCATTCTACCTTATAACATATTTATTATAAAAATGTTTTGGGGGTCTGCTTTAACTTTCACCCCCAGATCCTTCCTGTTCCTCTTAAGAAGAAGTCCCGTCCCTTATTTATATCGCTGCCTTTCAGATTATTAATGGCAGCTCTCAGGTCCTCTTGGAGTTGAACACAAGCTAATCCTCCCATGTTCCTTTGTTATCTGACAAGCTTTGGAACACTCCCACACACCATCCTGTGACCATTCTTTGTTTTCCTTTCAGAGCTCGCAGTCCAGAACTGTGGCAGCGCTCCTGCTATATAGCATCAGAGTGGGTTTATTACCTCTTTCATGCTAAATACTCTACCTCTGGTTAATGAAGCCAAACACTGCATTAAATTATTGAGGAGTACAATAAATTATCAATATGTGTCAACTTAAACTCCTAGGTCTTTTTCATATGGGCTCCTCCTCAGATATGTCCCTCCCTGTTTCTTTTTAATGCATAGCTGAGGTTTTCAGATCCCAAAACAGAACCTTAACATTTATTTCTACTTCACTTCATCCCCTTGGATTCAGTCTATCATTCCAGTGTGCACGATCTTCCCAGATCCTGATTCTGTGACTGAACCCTTTTACCACCACAAAAGGACCTCTAAATTCAATTCTGAGTACTGCCTTTCTAAGCATTCTCTTTCAAACTT